GAGGCAAGCTGAGCTCACCCCATTGTCCTAAATGGCTTGTCACCCTGATCCCAGAGGTAAGTGAAGGTGAACCTCATCATGTAATATTCTTGCCACCTTGCTCACTTTATCCTTGGAGCAGAAGCCCTGAATGCTGGCTGGCACAAAGCCTCTGGGGTTGATTTGGAGCTTCCGTGCTATTCCCTGACACATGAACACCCTGCTCAGGTCTGCTTGGTGACAGGAGTGACACCCAGCTGGGTTTGGCTGGACGAGGCTAATTTCACTGGGGTGCTGATCTGCTATGGGATTGTGGACAGGCTATGGATAGTGTGTTTTGATGACTGGAGCAGCCAGGTTGAGGTGGCCAGCAATGGGATACCGAGGTCAGACTATGGGGTCTGGATTCAGAATGATACCTGCCAGTTGTGTGACTCCAGGTAAGTGACCTTACCTAGAAACTCATCCTTAAAGTAGGTTAAAATACGTCGACTGGGAAGACCTAAGCTTAGCACAGGGATGGGCCAAAGGAAGTGCTCGGGAAATACTGGCTGCTAATGTTGTAATCAGGAAGGTGTTAATTCTTCCTAGTCTCTAGGGTTCCTGGCAACACAGGGCCTCCGAGAATCAAAGAAAACCCTTCAAGCCTGCTCTGTTTCTGTCCTGGCTTAGCCTGAGATGAGGCTCATGGAACCTCCTGGGGAGGGAGATGCGAACAAGCCCTTGATGGAGAAAATACTGCCTCCCAATTGAACAAGNCTGGGGAGGGAGATGCGAACAAGCCCTTGATGGAGAAAATACTGCCTCCCAATTGAACAAGCGATGTGGTTCCATGCCACCTGGAGGAGCAGCAGTGGTTGTGGGACAGTTTCTGCTCTCGCGGGATGCAGAGGCCACCAGCTCCGCAGCGCCACACTGCCAGTGGGGCACACTCACATCTCCAGCAGCCCGCTGGGGCCTTGGCTGCCGGGTGCAGCTTGCCTGAAGGAAGCCCCACTGGCCCTTGGATTCATTTCATCTGAGGCAGCTTTGGGTGAAGCTAGGCATGAAAATTAGTCGACAGGATTTGCCCTTTCCTCATCATTTCCCTTTACTTACAAGGGAGATGGGATATTTTGAGGTTAGCTGTTTCTTTAAGAAATCAGGATACAGGAGAGGGCGAGGATTGCTCTGAGCAGCATTTTGGGAAGGCTTTGAGGGGACAACATGCATGGAGCCATTTACTAACCATTCACCTGCAGGACGTGGGTCTGGAAGAGCTCCTCGTGGCCGGAGGCGTGGCAGGTGTAGTTGCCCATGTGGATGGTGGTCACCTTGGTGATGTACAGGGAGTCATCCTCTCCGAAGTCCTGCACAGGGTAAAGAAGACTCTGAGACTGGCCTCT